TATGGTAAGAAAAATATAATGTTTGACGTGCAAAACTGTATAACGTTTTACCTAAAAATATAAAAGAATCAAAAACGTTATCTTTATTTAAAAATTTATTGAAATGCCATATTTTGGAAAATTAACCAAAAAAAATACGAGCTAAAATTAAATCTAACTTAGTTTGTACGCACCCTTATTTCTGTTTCGGTTGCATTCATTGTTAGGTCATTACAAATTATGCGCGATGTTCAAACCTATGTTTACTGTTCTTTTAATTGTTTACATTTTACCCACATCTATAGTTAATATTCTGTATGCTTGTAATGGATTCCTTTATTATTGTTTGTAATTTTTTTATTTCTCGTAAGCGATTTGTAATCTTTTAAGAAATAAATAATATCTTAAACCTAAACCTAAATCGTATCTAATAATCATATTAAATATATACTAAATCATATAAAAAGCACATTTCAGAAAGATAAATGGTTGTTGAAAATAATATTTTTTTAAGTCAATTAATGCTATTTTTAGATTAAAAAGTGGTTTAGTGACTTATGGTGAAGATTCATCAAGTCCGCATGGCAACACGATAACTTTTGAAAATATGAATAGTTCAACTACGAAAATATTTCTTTGGTTCGTAAATCTATTTTTAATCTCTTCATTTATCATAAGGGAAGCCATGGAATGTAAATCGCTGTTTTTTTCAGTTATAATTAGTTTTTTTTCGTTTGAGAAATACCGAATGTTTTGGTGTTTTGAGCAGCGTTGTTATAATATATTTTACTAAATACACTTTGACACCTTCCGTGATTGGTTGCTGCCATGAATGAATTACTTTATCGTCTGTTTACAGCAGCTTGTGATAAAAATATCGATGGCTGTAGAAATACAAAGTATTCCAAAAATCAAATTTGATACATACTTGATCAAGACAAGATAATATTATTACTTTTATAATCACAGATTTTTATCACAATATATTGTTTCGCTAAAAAGTAAGTAGTAGCAAAAGTAAGTAGAATTTATATATATATATATATATATATATATATATATATACACGTGTTTTGGACTTTATGGATTGGCCTGAAGGTGTATCTGCTACGGGAAATCCTCGACGAGTAGAATTAGGTGTGCCGAGATTGTGCTCGTTATGTTAGTTATGATGAGACTTTACCTCCATATTGGCTGGCGGATTATCCTAAAGGCAAAATAGGCACGTGTCGAGAGGCACAAGATTAAAAAGAGGCGCGCGCAGAAGTTTCAAGGAAAATCAAATTGAACTACTAAATAAAATTAAATCCAAAAGTGCACACTTCATGGGCGTTTTTTATATAAATTTTGATGAAAAAATAAATATTTTTATGAGTCAATGAGTCTGATAACAACGAGCAAAGGAACAACCTTAGGATTAAATGAAACTTATTCAGAAAGATTTATTTTATTTGATTGCGTACATTTTTCTTTCTGAAACGTGAAGACAAACAAGTGCACAGACTATTGCGGGCCGCACTACGCAATCATTTTCAGCTACATTTTTTGTAAATATAACTAAACAAGTGAAGAAAAATACGCTGACTTTATAATTTTACCTGTCTAGTTTACAAAACATTCCTTTTTATTGATTTAGCGTCTATATTGATACTGATATACTAACAATTTTATAGTGCAAAATCGTCACATAGCGACATGTCGAGTGTAGAACACTCCCACACGCTCGAGCGTTGTGAGGCGTACAACAATTTTTGAGATCAGGTATCATGACTTGAAACATTTACCAATTATTTATATAAATAAGGAAACTTTGGATTATTTAATAATTACTGTGTAAGGATGTCCACTGCCGCATATCGTGGGTGTGGGTGGGCAGCATAATAACAACTAGAACACATGACGGTTGTTAACCCGCCTGATGATTATTCTATTATTTCCTGTTCTTATTCTATTCTATAACAAGAATCCCTCTTATGAGTCAATTTTTAGGGACGCCTGTGTTCAGCTGTGGACATTGACAGGCTGTGGTAATGGTAATGATGAGTTTGTTTTACTTTTTACTTAGAGATGCAAATAATAGGAACTGGGTAAATATATTATTTAAAGATAGCACGTCCTTTACATAGAAGTACAAATATGGAAGGAAGAAAAAAATAGAATCATCGTGTTGCTAAGAAACATTTAAAAAAAACAAGTTTTATTCTTTGATGTCTTGGACGGATGGTATATTTTCTGATAACTGGTGATGCTAAACACAAGTGGATCAAAAGTCGACATTACTGCGCTGGTGACTTCCCTCTTCGTAGGCCTTTTGAGTCCCCTTGCTCTGGCATGTTTTGGAGGTTTGCCCTGAAGCTGATGGAGTCCCTTTCCGTGAACCAGCGCAGTCCTAGTGTCTTCTCTTCCTTCTCGCCTAGGTCCACTTCTGTCTTCTCAATAGCGTCGATCTTCACGTCTTGCAGCAGCTCGGGTTGATTTGACGCCCATCCCCTAAATTCAAAGCCTGCCTTTTTGTGTATGAAGTCCACCTGCGTACAGGTCGATTTCATACATAAGAAGGCAGGCAGGCGGCTGTACAGATAGTCGTCCATGTAATGGTTTAGCTCGACCGCCCTTGCTGCCTCTGGATACTGCTCTTTGAAGTTCTTCACATAGATTGCTGTGCTCGGAGATGATGTTGCGCCGAAGATAACTGATGTCATCCTGTACCCCTTCGGCGGCGCATCGCGACGACCCCCGGGCCACAAAAACCTCAGGCTATCTCTGTCTTCTGGTCGAATGCGAACTTGAAGAAACATTTCCTTGATGTCGGCTGCCACAGCTAGCGGGCCCTGTCGAAACCTTAGTATTATCCTGAAGAGTGACTGCAGTAGATCTGGTCCTGGCAGTAGAGCATCGTTGAGGATTCTTCCCTTTGAGTTGGCTGCAGCGTCGAAGACGATCCTTATCTGCTTCTTTAGTGGATGTACCACGGAGAAGTGAGGGAGGTACCATTTCTTCTTAGAGTCTTTTTGTGTCGCAGGTGCTTCTTCTGCATACTTGCTGTCGATAAGTTGCTGGATCTGCTTGATATATTCTGCCTTCAGGTGAAGGTCCTTATCTATCTTGTTTTCAGTATTAAACAACCGGTTCTTGGTAGACGTGTAGCTCTCAGGCATCTGTTAATCTTCATTTTTCCATAAGAGTCCAGCTTCGAATCGTCCATCTTCTAGTCTTCTGCAGGTCTTCTCTAGGATTGTGAGTGCTCTTCCTTCTGAGTCTGTGGTGGGTCTTTGCAGTTGCACGCCAAGCGCCTCGATTGCGAAGTGGTCTTTGATGGCTTGATGCATCTCTTCATCAGGCGTGCTGACATGTAGACACGTGTTCAGGAGGTGTTCAGACTCTTATAGCTCCGGTATCTGACCCATGGAGCACCCATCCAAGCCCTGTCCTTGAAGCAACTCGTTCTCCTGGTTTCGCTTTCCTTACTCCTTGAGTCACTATTAGCTCCCAATTGCCTTGACCGATGAGCAGCTGTGGTGACCCCTTTTATAACAAAGAGAGTCGATGATCTTCCTCAAATGTTGGCATTCTTCTATCCTTTTCTTCTCTAGGAACTGCGTGCATGCTTCAGCTCCTTGATAGTCCGGACTCTCTTGAAAGTCTTCTTGTTTCCTTGATGATCTCCCTTCACTACAAGGTCCAGCGTCTGAGAATCCTTCTTCTTTATTTGCCTGCCTCCTACTGTCTCGATGACCAGTTCCTCTCTGTTTCCTTGAGCGCCGACTTTTTCTGCCACCTTTTCATCAATAAGCGACACTGTCGACCCTTCATCCATGAGGGCCAATGTTCTTTTGGATCCTTTTGGCCCGAATATTTCTACTGAAACTATCTTCAGGTATGCCCTTGCGTTGTTGACAGCATTCACTGATGTCATGACGCTTGCTACTTCTTCTTGTGTTTCCGCCTTCTTCTCTCCCGAGGTCCTGTCTCCTGAATCCACGTGCAGCAAATGATGATGCCACCTCTTGCATTCCTTACATGGTGGTTTCTTGCAGCTCTCCTTTCGATGTTTTCCTTGAAGACATTTGAAGCAAACGTGACTTTTCTTTACTGTTGCCCACCGATCTTGCACTGACGCCTTCTGGAACTTCTGGCAGTCGACGAGGAAGTGTCCAAATTGACACATCCTTTTCTCAAGTCAACAACAACAGGGACAAGTCTTCTCTGTTGACTGTCTTGAATCTCTTTTTTTGAAGTCCTTTTCCCTTGTAGAATGCGCCGCTTGCCGATGAGTTCTTCAAAACCCGCTCTTCTCTTTTGAGGTCACGAAGGCTCCACATTTGTATGCTTTGATGTTCAGGAACTTGGAGACCATCGTCAAGTCGGGAAAACTCGCCCTCTTCTGTTGTTGCAGTAAAGTCATACCATTGGAATTTGAGAATTGTAGGCATCTTTTCTATAATTTGCTTCACCATTTCAGGTGAATGCAGGTACTGTGGTTTCTTCAAACCCTATATTGCTGCTACGCTGTTGTTGATCTGGCTCGATAACACGCATATATCCCTTGGATTTTCGGATATCTTCGGTAACGCCCTGACCTTGTCCAATTCAGCCAGCACCAGCGCATCAGGTCTTTCATATCGTCTCCTGGGGGCCTAAAACACTTCCAATGGAGAGGCTTCAGAGTACAGCAGGCTCTTTATGGCTTCACTTGCGTTAACATTTAGTGCTCTTCTTAGTCGAGCCATATTTTGGACTTCGTTAAACATCGGAGCGGTATTTTCGTAGACAACCTTGAAGGCTTACCACTCGCTGCTGTTGCCATCGAAGTAGGGTAACTCGTGGATGTAATTTTGCTGAGCTACTGGTCCTCCTCTTGCGGTAAGGGCTTCTTTTAATACTATCGTCAGCGCTTAAATCGCACCTTTTTTCGCTGAGGATTTCTCTTAAGGCTTCACCTTCTTTGGCTTTTCCGGAGGGCGCGGACCTCGTTGCTCGTGTTTTCCCATGTTGTTTTCTTCTAATACTGATGTCTTCATCTAGTTCTGCACCTGTGCTGTTCTGTCTTCCTGGTCTTCGTCCTCGTTGTCTTCCTCTTCACACTGTGCCAGCTCTAATCTGACACGGCCTAACCTCGCCGCAATTTGGACTTGCTTCAGCTCCATGCGTGCTAATTCTTCTCTGGCTTCCAGCTCGCGTCTTCTGCCTGAGGAGCTCATAGTCTTCATGGACCTGGCGTGACGACCGACCCCCTTTCGCTTAAGGGTTGTGGTGGAGCCGTGAACGCCCTTGTCCGGAATATCCTCTGGAGTCTTCTTGGTCGTCTCCTTCTGTGCGGCTTCATTCTTCTGTCCGTTCTCCTCGTACGCCACCCTGGTGGCAATTGCAACCGTGGTCTCTATCATGGTGGTACCCTCTGTGATCGTACTGCTCGAAGAATTATTTGAATCCGACGTAGTTGCTGTTCCTGATGACGCTGATGCTGAAGCAGACGTGACCCCTTCTGATTCCGACATTTCACCTGTCGCATCCTTATCTGAGAAACATGACCCGGGACGTGAGGGAGCATCCTTCTGTGACCTGGTAACCGGCATCTTGAACGCAATCTTCTGATTCTTCTGTGTTCTTCTGCACACTTCTAGCAGGGATCCTGCTCGAAAGACCAACTGTTTCGGATGGCAGGGACACGTCCAGTGCCCGCACAGTCACCCTGGGACAATCTCCCACTTGGTTGACGTACGCTCCTTAATAATTGCTGGTGACGCACGTCCCACGTACCCCTGAATGCGTATGTAGTATTATAGTACGACCTACTTGGACCTCGAGAGAGAGACGAGCAGCCGGGAGGAGGCAAAATTAAACACGTTTCCTAGGTAGCTTCTTGTTCCGCAGGTTTCGGCTTCCCTTTTCCTTCCTGTTGTTGCCTCTTCGAAAGCTGTGTTGCGACTGTGCTCGATCTGTCCTTTATATCGGCCGGCGGTACCGTACGGACGCGTATGCGGTTTTTATTCCCTTCGCATGTCATTTTTACTTTAAGCCGAAACCTTTAGAGCTATTATTTATTATAATTTTCACGTAATCCTTACAATATATATATATATATATATATTTTTTTTTAATATTTAGCTAGTGTAAATTAAAGGTTTAAATGTAAGACACTATTTACAAAAAGAATCAAGTAGATCGGAGATCTATCTTGAAAGATATAAGGTAAAAGATATAGAGATTAAGCAATTTTTTTAGGTTTTTGTTGTAGGTATTTTTATGTCGAGAAATTTATAGCTTATATTATTGTTTTATATTATAGAATAGAATGGAGCCGTGGTAGCTCAGATGATTAACGCTCGCTCTAAATATAACAGAATGCGAGTAACCCGGCTCGATCCCCTCCGGCACCAATGAAATTGTTAATTGCAATTTTAAGTGCTAATTTACCACGTGCTCGGCGGTGAAGAAAAACATCGTGAGGAAACCTGCATGTTTGAGGAATAAGAAAAAAAAATTATTTCGAAGACATGTGAAGTTCGTTCGTTCGTTCGTTGCCCTAAAACCCTCTCAGAAATGAGGGGGAGGCCTGTGATCAGCAGTGGGACGTATATAGGCTGTAACAAAGAATTTATATATATATATATATATATATATATATATATATATATAAAATTTACATTTTTCGAGTTACGGAAGTATACCAAAATTTTGCTTAAAAATTCCCTTTATTTATTATCAAGAACTAACTTATTATGTCCTAATACTATATCATTTTCCTTACTCTATTAATTAGGAAATAATAGTGCTTTGTGGCATTGCCTATGTTCAGCAGAGGCCTTGTGAAGGGCTGTAATGATGATGATGATGATGATTTCAAGACATGTGAAGCCCGCCAAAACGCATTGAGGCAGCACGGCGGACACTTCCTTGCCCTAAAACAAATGGTTGGAACAAAACATTAAATCAGAAAATTTTATTGAAAATATAACGTAATAAAAATTCATTTATTTGTAAAATATTTTTAGATTAAAAAAATATTTAAATATATTCTCTTACTTGTGAATGTGTACAGAAAAAAATACAAAAGAAATTTTTATTGTACATATAACATAATTTATGTTCCTACTTATAATATAGTTTGTACATATTGAATTACGTATGACTTTCTATATGATCAACGACTCACTTACCGAAATGCTGATCTGACTTGACCCGCTTTATTTCTATCTCCATATCTATGTAGACAGCGATTTGAAAAAAATTATGATATCACATCATTTCTCTCTCCATATCTATGTATAAACAGCGATGTGAAGAAATTATGATATCACATCGGTTTGTCATTTCATTATTTAGGGTGTACCCACTAAACAAAAGTTAGAAATAGTAACATGTTTAATGTTGTTATTATAATATATATTTTAAAGGCCATATAATCGATCAAAAAAATAAAATAAAATAAAAGGAAAACCATGCTGAAGTGTGCTTCGAGGACGAAGTACAGGTCAGGATGCCGTGCTAGATTAAGGATAATTTTACAACTAAATTTTAGTTACGATTAGTAATTATTTAATCCATTTGTAATTTTTTTTGATATTTTAAGAATTGTTAGTTCGTTACCACTTCCGGTTTCTAACGTATGTTATGTATATTGTAATAAATATATTAAACTAACTTAAAAATGTTTATTTGGATTTAAAAAGGTATTTCATATTTTTGAAGTTCCTTTATCGGATTACTTGTATGTGTTAAACTGTTTTAGGCAACGTGTTTTCTGAATTGTATTTAAACTACAAATTTAATGTTCAAAAACTGTGAAAGTGATTCCTAAAATATTTTTAATGGTTAATAATTTTTATAATTTGATTGTAAACATTTAGATGTATTAAGAATTGTTAAATTGTAAGAAAACGACATTGGACGACTCTGGCATACAACCGTCCAGGCGTGAAGTACCGCTCACCCTTCGAAAGGACACTTAAGATTAAATCAAATCGTCTTTATTAAAAGTCAATGAACTGACAGAAGTTAACGAACACTTAATCGCACCAATGCAACTGACATCTTTCTAGAATCTGAATTCTTTGTCCTTGTAATTGAAATCAAAAAATTGATTAAAATAAATTGTTATCGAAGATTTCTAAGTAAAAAGTTGTTATTCAATGAGATAAAAGCTAAAAGATAATAAGAAAAAATGCGTGATTCCATCACACAATATATACATACATAAAATCCGTGGAGACCTCATAACTATTTATATTGAATCCAAGAGTTGAAATTAGCCTTCGTTAACTATGTCACCTGGGTGTCAAACACCTTAGTCCCCCTGTGAATATGGGCGCTGGAAAGTGCCCGAAACGTCGGGAATTAAAAAAAGTTTAAATTATAAAATTCGAAAAATTAGTTTTAGACCATGTCTAATATTTTCGTAAATGTAAGAAATCATTAGGAGCAACACCTGATTTTATTAATTATGTAACATCTAGTTTACAATTTTCGAAATACATTATATTGAACATAAATAAAAACATATAGTGAACACGTCGAGACTTAATTGTGTGACGTCCTGATATTATTAAAAGTAGCCCGGCTTAGAAACACAAGGAGTGCAGGGGCTATCGGTTTATAAAAACACTGCAAAACTCGTAAGTTTAAAAGAAGTAATAAAATGCGCTTACTTTAGAATTTACATTGTGTTGTAATTGCGTTTAACTAAGAAATCATTATATATTAAGTGACAAGCTTAATGGTAATTATAAATTCCGACTGCGTTGAAAAGATGGAGCAGTCGGTCACAAGTCTAATACTTGCTGTCTCGTAGTTTTTAAAGAGAGTTCAAAAGTTTAATTGACTTATGAGAAAACTTTTTTAATTAACACGAGAAACTGAACAAAGAACAAATTAATTAAGCGTAATTTTACATTATATACATTTGGTTCTTTATATTATAATATGCTTTTACTTAGTCATACCTGAATACTAACGTCGCATCGCCCTCACCCCGTGCTCCACTAAGCCCTTATAAATGCTAGATTAGCCGCTGCTTTTCATACTCAACTTAAAGCTAACCTTGCTTAGTACCCAACTTTTGCTTTAGCTGCATTTGTACAGGACTATTTACAACTGAGTCGTTCGTCTTGGTTACGACTCTGAACCAGTTTGAACGTTTTTGGTTCTAGTGGTAGGGTCGTGGATGACCCTCACGTCTCTCACTCTCACGTTACATTAAAGTCTCCATTTAAATCTCAAGCTATCCTTCCCAACCCCAAGCTATCATTAACTTATCATCACCTAAGCTATCATCATCTTGTTATCACACATTCTTTTCACATCTTCGTTGCTTAGGACGCGAGCTGTTCCTGACTAACCATAGCTCACAGAAATGCGCTAGACCTGTGATACAAACTATTTTAATATTTAATTTAGAGGATAAGGGTGGCAAACGAACATCTTAGCATATGTTTTGCATATTGTAACCCGACAACACCATGGCTTCATGTCAATTATATAAGTTTCCCTATTTAATTAAATTTTATTTTGTTTTTGCGGATTTTTTTAAAATTTGTTTTCTGATTCTTAAAAGGATTATGTGAATCATTTCAGGATACCTAAAAGAACGGATAGGCTAGGGTTTTTTTAAAACTTATTATGTATGTATCATAAATCTTGTATTTAAAAGTTATTTATTTATATTCTTAGAAGTTATATATTTCATACACACAAAATGATATCCTTAATGGAAACCCGATAACAAATTCCTACGGTTTGACACTAATACTTACAGCTTACGTGACTTGGCTTAGTGGCCTGAGCTAACATCGAACGGTTATGTGAGCTAAAATGAATATCCGGTGAAGTTTTGTACGAAGCATTTAAAAAGATTAAAGCGATAAAATTACAAATAAAGAACTGGAAAATAGTTTCTCGATGGCCACCAAATTTGTAGTTATTCGTGTGAGCAGATCGATTCACACCAGACATTTTCATAAAATTTTAATATTACTTAGGTATACACTTAAAATATTGTCCGCCAGACCGAATTTAGATCACGACTATCAGTTTCAAAAGAGGCCAGCCTTTCTTATTTATTTGCTTATTGAGGGAAACATACAGTACAAAAAACAATTACAATATAGAACATATAAAAGTAATCCCAAAATCAATAAAGTTTCCACAGATGTCTAATACATAGTAAAAGCTTGCCACAACAATGTTGTATAAAAATTTACAATATAGAAATATAAGAGGAAAAATAACTGAATGATATTTATAATTAAACATTAAGTACTTAATCAGTTAAAAGTTATATTATACGTGCAATCCATAATGAAACTACCAATTATAAATTAATTTTTACAATATTTTTGTAACTATTATATTTAAGGTAAAAGACATCTAATTTAATTATTTTAAATAATTTTTTTACATGGATGAGATACAAAATTATTTGAAAAATACTTCCTATCAACTTTAAGTAATGCAAGGAGAGGTTTTTTCGCGCCCCTAAACTGTGACACGCAAGGTTCACTTGGTTATAGTGCCCAAGTGTTACACATTTTTAGATTCGATCCCGAAATGAATTTGAATATTTTCTGGTACTTTATAG